TAGCAAGTTCATAGAGACCTTCTTCTGAAATAGAGATGTATATTTAGCAGTATTGATTCAATTGCAAACTCTACACCAAAAGTGAAAAAGCCTGGAAGATGATCAGATTGCTCATGTAACTGTAATTAAATATGGGATTTTTAGATCAGGCCTTAGTTAATATATGCAATTCCACCTTAGACAGACAGAATAACATCAGAGGAATGCCCTCTAGGAAGTTTTAAATAGATCACTATGCCTCCTGACTTTAGGGTGAATGTGTAAGCTGATCTGTAGAACTGCAGGAAAGGATTGGTAGAAACTAACAGGAGAATTGAAACGGCTAGCAGCTAGCGTTGTGTTATGTAGCTATTAATAAGTCTACCTAAAATGCAGTAAGAAGAGAGCCAGTTTGGTCTAATGCTGTGATGGTGAATTTACGGCACGCGCACCACAGGCGGCAAGCGGAGCCCTCTCTGAGCGCACGCGAGCTGTCGCCCCCAGCTCAGCTTTACTGCATATGTGCACATGCTTCCCGCCAGCGAGCTGATTTTCAGGTCTCTGCTGCGTCTGTGTGGGGGCAGGGCACATGAGGGCAACATGTGCGCCTGTGCAGGGGGGAGTGCACATGCACATGGAGTGGGGGGGGGTGCAGTGCACACACTGCTGCGGTCCATTTTTGGTCCTATGAGGCTTCAGGGAGGCCTGCTAGGCCCAAAACGGGGCGCAGGGGGAGGTCACATATGCATGCACAGGGGTGTGCGGGGGGTGGTCGTGCATGCAATGCATTATGGGTATGGAAATGTACGTGTGCGCTATCGTGTGCGTGCTCACACTTTCAGCACGCGACAAAAAGATTAACCATCACTGGTCTAGTTGTTAAACCATCAGGCCTGAAACCAGGAGTCTTAAGAATTCTAGTCCTCCTGGGTGATTTCACCAGGTGACTGTGGGTTTTAGTACCACCATAGATATGAAAGCCAGCTAGGTGACTGAGCCAATTATCAGGAAATGGTGAGTTTTAATACTGCCGTAGGCATGAAAGCTGGCTGGGTGACTTTGGGCCAATTCTCAGGAGACTGGGAGTTCTAGTTCCACTTTAGTCACAAAAACCGGATGGCTTTCAACCAGCCTACCTTACAGGGTTGCTGTTGTGGGGGGGAAATAGAAGGAGTATTAAGTATGTCAATGCCTTGAGTTATTTATAAAAAATAAAGGCAGGGTAAAAAATGAAAATGAAAATGAAAAAAAAATCAAAATAAAACTATACCAGTCATGCTATGGAGTTTAGGAGGGAGGACAAGCACTTAATGAACAAAGGATCTATCAATTAGCAAAACAATTTTGGATTGCATAATACAGACACACAAGATTTATTAGCATCGTTTAACATCCCTACAACACATCAGGGACACAGAATGACGCAACCATTGTTATTTGGTTAACTGATTATTAGATACAGCCTTTTTCTATTTCACTAAAGGACCCAGTAGCTCAGTGGCTAACACGCCGAGCTTGTCAATCAGAAAGGTCGGCAGTTTGGCAGTTCGAATCCCTAGGGCTGCATAACGGAGGGAGCTCCTGTTACTTTTCCCAGCTTCTTCCAACGTAGCACTTCGAAAGCACATAAAAATGCAAGTAGAAAAATAGGAACCACCTTTGGTGGGAAGGTAACAGCATTCCATGCGCCTTCGGTGTTTGGTCATGCTGGCCGCATGACCATGGAGACGTCTTCGGACAGCACTGGCTCTTCAGCTTTGAAAAGGAGATGAGCACCGCCCCCAAGAGTCAGGAACGACTAGCACAGATGTGCGAAGTGAACCTTTACCTGTACTTTATTTCATTTCCATAGTAACAAAGATCGTTCATATACAAGGTTATATATCTGATTGGCTTGTAGGGAGTCCTCCATTTACAACCACAAATGAGCTGAAAATTTCCATTACTAAGCAAAGCGGTTGTTAAGTGAGTTGTGCCCCATTTTATGAAGTTTTGCCATAGTTTCGAGCAAATCACCACAGTTGTTTAAGTGAATCAGGCAGTCATTAAGCAAATCTGTGTTCCTCAACTGAAGTTGCTTATCAGAAGTTCTCTAGGACGGTTGCAAATGAAAGCCCCAGGATCCTAGGACTTGCAACCGTTACAAATTCATGCAGGTTGTGAAGCACACACATTTTGATTGTGGGACTGCTGCAACGGTCATAAGTGTGAGAACTGGTCATGAGTCATTCAAAATTATTCAGTGACTCTGAATGGTCTCTAAAGCAATGGTGCGCAGCCATCCTTATGGCCGTGACTCTTAATTTGGTTTTCATGACTTCCCTTGTTTTCTTGCAGACGTTTCATTACCCTAACTAGGTAACATCATCAGTGCTAGTAAGGAGTGTTGTTTGACGTCAAGTAAAGGTAATTAAGAAAATATTGGGTTGTGCAGAAATGAATAGATTAACATTGGCAATTAAAGGGAAGGAAGAATCGGAGTATTATAATATATCAGGGAGGTTCTACTACTGGATAGAAAATGAATATAGACAAAAAGAGATACAAAATTAAATAAATTGGGAAGGAAAACAGATTTATAGGGGAGAAGTTGAATTGAAATGTAATTGAAATGAAAAGGTAAATGGAAAGTTTAAAAATATATTTAAAATGATAGTAAATGTTAAATATGATGACACAAACATTGTACTCAGATGACACGCTGTTTGATTAATGGTGTAAGATTTGTTCAATAAAGATAAAACTTTGATCTAAAAAAAAAAGAAGTCAAGTAAAGTGATTTACCACTGGTTCTCACACTTATAGTGATTTGCTTAACAATCATGACAAAAAGGTCCTAAATTCAGAAACGACTTAACAATTTACTTAGCAATAGAAATTCTGATCCCGATTACAGCTGTAAGTTGAGGACAGCCAATTTGGTCCAGTGGTTAAGGCACCCAGGCTAGAAAGAGGAGTGTGTGTCTGTGTGTGAGTGTTCCATCATAACTCTGGAACGCATGGGCTGCTGAAATAAAAAGGAATGAATTATATCTATAATGTCAAATCACAGTACTTTTGACAGCAATTGTGTGCATTTTGGATTTGTGTGTGTGTGTGTGTGTGTGTGTGTGTGTTCCAGCATTACTTTGACCTGACACTATAGATATAATTCATTCTTTTTCCTGTCTAATACAGGATTAGCATAAATAAATGCCAGGGACATACCAGGTTATCAGCTAGTGGAGTTATAAAATAAAAGCTGATTTTTTTTTAACACTTCCAAGAAAGTGTGGCAGAAAGCTGAGAAACAAGAGAGAAGTCCATTGTGTATATTTAGAGACAATAACAAAACTGGCAAAGGATGGGAGAAACAGAGCAAGAAATTAAGATGCGTAGCTGTTTTTTTCTATAATTTCTATAATCAAGGATGGATGGCTGATGCTACCCTGGGCAGACTTCTGATAGTTTGAAATTTGTTTGCTTTTTTTAGAAGAGGAAGGCACGCAGCTATTTGCCTCTTGGGGTCTTTGCAAGGAGGTGTAAAGGAGAGGCAATTATTGGGTCTCAGGCTGGAAGGCAGGGAGAAGTGACTCAAGAGGGGTGCAATCCTCACTAATCTCTGGGGCCTACAGCTAATTATTCCTAAAGTTTTTTAAAAAAACAACACAAGTGAGACTGCTGGGGAGGGGGTGGATCCAGCACTAGGGGAATGCAAAAGTACCAGAAAAAGGTTCTCCTTAGAGGAGGCATGAAAAGACAGGAATGTGAG